AGAGCGTTGTATGCTCCACTGTCGACTCCCTATGCTAAATGTGCAATGACTTGCGGTAGTTCAAGACATCGAGACATCGAAGCGCAATTTGCGACTGCCAAGGCAGCGGCAAAGTAGATCTGCTCCCGGATACTGATCTGCGACGAGGACGCAAATGCCAAACAGGCGCTTCAAATGTTGTAGGGCTGCATGTGATGCACTTTCAGTGGCTTTCAGTGTTTGATGCTCAATTCTGCAAGGCAATTTTAGAGACATAAACTGAGCTGCCTCCATCAAAATGGGCGGATATTGCCGTGGATCTCGTGGTAAGGTCCAATCTGAGGGATATTTCCTGGCACAGAACACTGACCTCCTCCCCTTTCTTCCCTGCTTGCCAAGAGCTTTCGCTTCGAATTCTACATGCCCATCACTGCATTGAAAGTTGCAGTGAAGACTTTGTGCCTTACCATGATGAAGCTCTTGTTGAAAAGATGTTCACTAGCAGCCTCAGAATGGCGTTGGGTCAGTTTTGCTTCACAAGTATTCAAAGAAGTGCAAAATCAAACAAGAAAAACAAGTATCAAAGAGGAAAAAAACAAAGAAAAACAAATTGCACAAAGTGGAGTCTGCCGTCCGATTTGGGGGTCCGTGCTAAGCCCGGGCTCAAGAAAAGGTCACCAAAGTCTTCGACGGGCACCAGGCGCTGGGGCCTCAGTTGCAACGTGCCATTCCGAGCGTTTTGGTTCTTTTTGGGCTTTTTGGCCGGAGATGGGCGTTCCAAATAGAAGGCTGAAGAGAGAGGAATACGTCTCTGGTACCGTCTAAGACGTAGCGCCGTACGATGAGCGAGAAGGGGCAGCAACAAAGCAAAAGCCAGTGATCACCGTGTTCGCGAGAGAGTTGGAATGTGTGATGCACCATGTGGTAGCTACAGACAGACCCACCATGTCTTTGTCGCCTTGGGCAATAGCTGCACAACTAGGAACTTGCAGGCCGGATCTTGCAGCGTGTTGACTGCAAATTGCCGACTGGCAAAACAAGTGCAAATGTGTTTAGACACGACATCGAGAACCGGACAGAGCAGGAGTGTACATCCACTCCACGCGCTTGGCGTTCTGCGAAGAATATATGTGGCTGTGAGGAGACAGAAGAAAAAAATGAATTATTCTTGTGTTCTTGAATGATCTTGCTCCCAAACCACAGTTTTAGACTGAGAATGACTCAACGGAAGCACAAGGGTGACATTGCTGCACCTCTACCTCGTTAAAATAGATCTTTGCAATGGTGACCTGGTCACGGAACGCACAGAAAGTCGTGTCGTGATGTTTCGGACTATCCAAATGCCTTACTAGGAGCGATCGGACGCTACTAGGAGCAAAGGGCATCGCTACTACTAGGGGCTCCTGGCCGTACTACTAGGAGCAAGTAGCTAGGTCTTAGCCTCTGCCGACAAGGACGGCTCTCGACCAACAAATGGCTTCAACGTTGTTTAGGCTACGCTTACCGCTACAGGCACGTCCGGTTTGCTCTGCTCAGCGCCGATTGGGCACGGACGATCATCATGGAGCCCGCTCGGTGGCCCACTGCAATCACATCGCCATGCTTCTCATTGACCTAAAAGATCACTGTGTCGCTTGGCCATGACAAACTTGTCCAAACCATAAAAGACTGACTACCGGGTTTTCATCAATGTCTACATATACATGGTGCTTTAGGTTTCGCAAAAACATTGTTCCCTCATTTGTTCTCCGCCAGAATTGGCCAGACATTCCCAAAAGCCTCCATGCAAGCTCGCCAACTGCACAAGGATCTATTCAGCAGTGATTTGAAGAGGGAATGTTCTAAAACCAAGGAACCTGTCGACGAGCTCAACATGTTGGTGCAAGAACTCTGTTTGAAAAAGTAACAATAGTAATAACAATAGCTCTGTAAACCTTGCTGATTGAAACTGTAAACCTTGATGAATCGCACCGTGCACTGAGCCACGCGACCAGGAGTTGCAACACGGTGAAGTCTAGTCCTTGTGCCTTGCACGAAGAGATCAAAGCCAAGCCGCACAAAAGCCATCCAATGCTATCCCGTCAAATCAAAGCGTAAACAGGTCGAAGCATTGCGGCGAACGGGGTAACAAGTTGTATTTGCTTGCACCCTCTATGAAACTGCTCTCATGTGATCATTGATAATTACTGTGAACCTCTGTTCCAAGAAGACAGTGTTCCCATTGGCACTCTTCTCGCTTTGTGCACGTCTTTGTAATACTGTATATATGTTCTTTCAATGAAATGAAAAAAAATACATCAAAACTTTTCCAGCATATCTTTTGGCCTCGATGATCACCGCATCAGGGATGCTGATGAAATACACTCGGGACCTGAAAGCTGGACCGCGATGTTTGGTCTGACATGCTCGCGGTTCGTTCACTTTGGCTTCGCGGTTTTCAGAGGAAAACGCGCTACGTGGTGTGGAGCCACTGCATCCGAGTGGCTTGGTATTCTTCAGAAGTCCTGTTGGCTCAGCCTGGGTGAAGACAAAGACATCTTGGCCTCAGAGCGACGCAGCAAGGTGCACACCCTGGCATGGGCAAGGCGTCCAAATCTCAGGGCTTTATTTGGTTGAGTTTCTGAAAGACTCCAAATAAGGGAACTGTTTGGTCTTGGATCACCACTCTTCCTTATGTCTTAAGTCCTAAGATTCTTTTTCATTTGTCATAGTTCCTGAGTCTGATCTGCCCCGTTCCTCAGCCCCCTGCCGTTCCGCGAATAGATGGCAGAGTTTGTGGTCCATGCCATGAATTGCGCGGTCATCGGTTCCGGAAAGTTGACCAACGGAAGCTCCTGGATACGAGGAGATGTATGGCTCTGGGGATGTGGAAGTAACAAGAACGCTAGTAGAAACAAGTGCCTTACTAGGAGCAAGAAGCTACTAGGGGCTCCTGGCCTCACAGCCGAGAATGCAAGAGATTCGGCAGGGATTTTTTCTTTACTCTTGTGTTACAAAATAGGTAAATTCAAGCTATGTTCTTCGATGAATGTGAGCTCCTCATCAAAGACGATCTTTGGATGAGTGATGTTCACTGTGTCGACCCGCGCTGTAAAAAGCCAATACCTTGAGCTTTGGAGTTCAGTATGCAACATGCATTCTGGCAGGCAGGGCGATAAGTTGAAAAACAAAAAGAGCAACCCGCCGGCTTTAAGATTTCCAGACAAGTTTCTATTCTACAGCGAGATACTCGAGTCTAAGTTTCATCACTGTTCTGCTGAGTCACTGCCAGGGTTGCAACATCCGAATTCGTGCAGTGGATGGTGATGTCAAAATGCCCACCAAGCGCGAACTGTCAAGGTCATACTTGATGCCTTGGAGCCACAAAGCATAACCTTTTATCTAGAAAAAGAGTCCAAGATTTGTGATGCTCCGGCATGAGGAAATCCCGAGGCCCCCAGCCATGCACCATGCCAGGGATTCGGGACTGATACGGAAACCTTAGGGCATGAGTCTGACATGAGTCTTGCCAAGGTAGACTGGGCTCCAAATTATAGCTTTAGAGCTTTTAAGTTACAAATGATCGCTTCCAATGGCGGTGGCCTCCAACCTAGAAGCGTTGGCCTCCAACTAGCTACAAATGAGCGCGCTTCTCCATTTCTGGTGGTTCTCCTCTTGGTTGTTGTTTCCTATGGATTTTACACACATTACTTAAAACCTGATTGGTCAAAGCCCGGATAAATCTCAGAAAAGTTCTGCGCTTTGCAGCTGTTGCAAGACTTTTGTATTCCCTTTTTGTCCTGGCTCCAAGAGGCAAAAGTGGCTGCAAAGCCAGTCAGGAACCGCCCATTCAGGCAAATGGAACCGACCTCTTTGCTGCTTTTATGGAGGCTCATCAATTCAGGCCTCTAAGGTACAGAAAGGATGATGCTTCACAGCCAGCTCATTGAAGAAATGCGCCTTCGAGTGTGAAGCTACAAGTGGTACGAGAAATTCATTTAATGAAAAACAAATCTCTGTATACTCCCTTTCCCCCAATAGGACCAACAGGAACTGAAAAAAAAAGAAAAATCCACTAACAATCCTTTTACAATCGCTTTTAGATTCTGTTGTGCTCCAAAATCTCCAACCCGCCTGTGCCAGGTTTTGGCAGGAATGCTGGGTGAGTCGACCGCTCGCCATGCAAACCGCTTCAACGCCCTAGAGCCGGCCCTGCTGTTCCCAGCGAAGCAGCACTTCCTCCACCTCGCGAGGGTCGACATAAGTTCACATAAGGTCATTCTAAACATAAATACTACTAGCGATGGCCTTCATTCATTCTGAGTCATTATGTTTATCATTGTTTATCTTACAAATGATCAAACGAGTGCTGTCAACATGTCGGAATCGCTTAGTCGAAATCATTCATGTCATTCTGTGCAAAGAAGCATGTCTGATTCGGACGGTCTGAGCAAAGAAACAACTCAAGAACAAAAACTCGGCAGCTACGAAGAATCCATATGAATTGATATCAACGGAGGTTGATCTTATCTTGCCTTGGACACTTGATCAACCTCCGCATCTGCAGCAGTGTCTCCCACAGCTGCCGGCGCCGCCATCTCGAAAGGGCCGCAGCCCTCACACTTCGGTGGGTGAACCCAGATGGAACGCCAGCCTGTGGGCACTGGCGCGGTGAGTTTTCACAAACCAAGGGATGGTCTTCACGGTCTGTCTTCCTAAAGCAGGTCAAGGCGGGTCTGTTCACTAGGGTGGAGGCCATCGCTACTAGGGCGGGCGCCATTGCTACTAGGGTGGAG